CTGCAAAGGGGTTGTGCAGGAGGGGGGGGGGGGAGATATATTAGAAAAGACAATTGGAAGCAATAAAGAATCATTTTATATGACAGACACATATTGGATGATGGGTTTTATCTGGTAAAAGATTGCTCTGCTTATGCTGGACAATCTGGAATTGGGTGTTGAAGAGGTTCAAGTTCCAACATGGTCACTAACTGATATGCTGAAACTTGTAGTTCCTCAGCACTGGAGGTCTATTCATTACTCCCCCAGAGCTCTTTGTAAAATGAAATCAATAAGTGATGCAATCATTTCAGCAGCCAAAAAAAGGCTTTGATCAATCAAGTGAGCGAATTGCATTAAGTACCTTAGTGGGTGCTCCAGAGTGTATATTAGTAAATAATGGATCCGACTTCATTCATCTAAGTGTCTGAAATCAGAACTGTCTGTAATGCTCTCCTGCCACTGACATTGGTTGGCTGGTTTAACAAACCGTTGTTATGTTATACACCAGAGGCGGGCAACTCCGGCCCTCCAGATGTGCCTGTGGAATCCATGCCTGTGGCTGTCAGTTTTGCAATGGCTCATGGGACTTGTAGTTCCACAACAGCTGGAGTTGCGAGACTCAAGAGGGAAAATATGCCTATTGTCTATATGCAAATTTATTTAGCGCCAAACAGGTGTCACGCGACCATTTGTTAATCTTGTGGCATGGTAGTGGTGCACTGTCCATGCATACCCATCCACCTCTTGTACGATCTGCCTGTCCAACATGGGCAGATCGTAATTTTTTTTCGATTACTTTACAACCCTCGCAAGACAAAAGTGTTGCGAGGGTTGTAAAGTGTATGGGCACCGTTAAACTGCACATGCGCAGACGAAAATACGTGCGGTCGATTACCGCAATTCGCCCAAGTGCTTTCTTTTAATTACCGCTGATCCAACCTTGCAATAATTGGGGCAGGATGGGGCCGCCCTACGAAAATCGTACGACGGTTCGATCATTGGACGAAGAGTGTCGTCCGATTAATTGTTAGGTGTATGGCGACCTTAAAGCTGCCCATACAGCAAAGTAAGCCAAGTATTTGCCACATTTGTTTTCTGGCTTTCTAGACATTTTTAGAAAGTCATGCTCCCATGTCATGAAAGCTGAGCCAGTTTACTTGATATTTCCGGGGCATGCAGCAAACTCGGGTAGTTATTATGTGCAACGCTTTTAGATTCTGGTACGGTGGTGTGACAAGTGGAGGTAAAGAAGACCTCCTCCATGCTGGAGTATATTATGTCCCAGACAAGATTTTGTCTAAGGCAATTCTGCTGTGTTGATTCGTATGCACCTTACAGACGTTAACAAGAACCTGCTGCAAGTTGCCACTTGTTGCACGGACAGGACTCAGGGCCGGGTCACACCAGATGCAGTTGTGACGCAGAACCCAAAATGCATCACAATGCTTTATTCACACCAGTGCAGTTCGTTACGAGTCAGAAAAATACCGCTTGGCCTATTTTAGTTGCACCGGAACGCATCAAAATGAAAAACTTATCACATTGCAACTGCGCAGTTTATCGGACGTTAATTCCTGATGTGTTTCTTCATCCCTGGTAATAGCATTATGATTTATTAATCAGGATATGGTGCTGTGCAGAGCCCTTGCTGAGCTGCTGGTAGGGCAGTTGCAGCACTAATAGTGGAATTTGCAGATCTGGCCTTTAATTATATCATGTCATCCGCTCTGTTCTGTTTGGGATTTCCCCCAATTTTTAACTTGGCAATCAGTAAATTACAGTTTTAGTAAACTATTGTCTAGCAAATATATA